GCCGTGCTGCAGCTTCTCGCTCACGGCGCGCTCCAGCTTCTCGCGCGCCGAGAAGCCGCTCCACATGCAGTCCTGGAGGATGACCGGGTTGGGGGTGAGGCCGCCCAGGCCCCCCAGGCCGAACGCATCCTCCTCGGCCGGGTTACCCCACAGGTCGGCCTCGGGCAGCAGCATCTCGGTGGCCCAATTCGGGGGCTCCGGGCTGTGCTCCGGGAAGGCACGGCTGGGCGACAGCGGGGGCGTGGGCAGCAGCTCAAACTTCTTCCAGATGTCCTCCCCCGGGGGGGTCGAGTCGGGGCCGCCGAAGTAGAAGTCATCTTCGTCTGGGTAGAAGCAGGGCTGCAGCGAATCAAACTCGAGGTCTGGGTTCTTGCAGATCATCCCCGGCATGGTGGACGCGGTGCAGCTCGGCATCGGCTCGCCTCCCGGCGGGCAAACGAAAGCTGCTTTCCGCTCCGCTCTTTTTTAGTTCTGGGGGTGTTCCCTTGCCGTGGTGGGCGCGGAGGGCGGGGGCCCGCGCCAAACTCCGACGCTGCAACCGACAGACACACCAGAAGAGGGTTGGCAAGCGGCACCGAACGCGCGGACAGGCAGTGGACGGCCCCTCGCACCCCGTTCCTCAATCTCCCCTCCTGGCCCCCCACTCGGCTCTGTGCTCCCGAAGGCCTCTCGCTCGCTCCCTCCCTCCTTTTGTGTACAAGCTGTCTACGACCGGGGGTGGGAGGGGGCATGCAGATGCGGGGAGTGGTGGCGTGGCTCTGCAACTTTGGAAACTGCCATTTCATTCACACAGGCGCTGCCTGGGGGAGGGGGCTCCTGGAGGCTGCAGGATTCTAGCTCACCAGCTCGCCGGAAGCCCAGTTGCACCAATGTCGGGCCAGCTGCTCAAAGGCAGCCCGAGCCTCCAACCCAGCTGCCGGGCGCGGGACCTCGAGTACCCCAATCTCCCACTGTAAAATCGCAACCTCGGGAGTGCAAATGATAGCGGGGTATTTAGGAAACTTTGCAAATAGAAAAATCCTTTCTCTAGACCGAGACCGACAACAGGCACCCAAACGCACCCCCACCCCCCAAACGTGAACAGACGCCCCCCTCAGCATTCAGCGCTGCAGGGAGAGTTCTGCCACTAGCTTATTTTGAACCTCTCTAATCCCACAACCCCCGACAACGTCCTCTTTCGGGACGAGGGGACAGCCTAAACCCCGGGTCCCCGGAATGGTGCAGGGCGCCAGCGCGGGGCGGGTCGCGGGAGAGCGGCGTCTCCTCCGAGCTGGAGCAGCCGTGACCCAGATTACCACCACGGCCGCCTAGCCCAGCCTAACGTCCCCCGCACCGCCCGCTTCTTTTTCCCTTGGCGGGAGGGGGGGTGCCTTTCGAGAACCCCAGCTTTGGGGTGGGGACGCACCGGCTCCCCGTCGGCTCGAACACAGGCAAATGTTACAGAGAAGGGCGAATTTCTTTCCGATGAAGCCATTAACCCCCCTGGCAAGGGCAGTAAAAGGAGATTAGGGCGGGTCTCTTCCAGCCGGGGTGCCTTGGGGGCTGGAACTGGCTTTTCAGGGAAAACCCCGAGGTGGTTTTGTTTCGGAAGCAGAAACAGTCCCCCGGGTATATTGGGGCGCCCTGTGCGCGAGCCGCGAGCAGATCCAGTGCCTCCCTTCCCGCCGCGCTCGCCGCTCCCGGGGCTCCGGGAGGTTTGCAACCCCCGCTCCTTACCTCCCGCGGACTGCCGGGGATCCAGAGGCGATTCTGTGCTGGGGTCCCCGGGTGGCCTGGGGCGGGGGGGCGGGTTCCTCGGGTGGCTGCAGTCTGTGCGCGCTTGCGCCTGGCTAGCGCTAGCTCGGCTCCAACCCAGTTCCCAGGAGCCCCCCGCATCCACCCAGCGCGTCCAGACAGATGACTGTCACTGGCTGCGCTTTGAAGCTCGGGGGATATTATTAACTGAAAAATCTGACACACCCGGGGGGCGGGGAGAGAAGGGGGCTGCGGCACAGACAAGGGGGTGGGAGAAAGGCAGAGGAAAGCGGCTTTACCCCGCCCTCTTGATTTCCATAAAAATCAGGGGAGGCGCCAAGGCTTTCGCGCCAAAAGCCACTTGCTTTTTCTTTGCAGAGGGAAGGCTGCAAAGCTGGGAAGCCGGGGCTGTGCTCCTCCCGCCCTTCCAGACCCCCGGGCTTGCAACCGGTGCACTCTGCGAACCAGCTGCGTGCAGAGCGGTGCGGTGCAGCGCCCACTCTGCGTGCCTAGCAATTGCTTGGCATTAAAAACATTTTTTCCAGAGGTCTCCGGGGGTGTATGTTGGGTGGGCGGGAGGCGGGGGGTATGGAGGCTCCTAACCCAGCCCCCGCCTTGACTGCGAGGCCGGCATCCTGCAAAGCTTTGCTGAGGGAGGGGCTGCCCTCGTGTGATCAAAGGAAGCTACACCGAGGGTGCAAAATGGGAGGAAGAGGACGCGCCCATTTAGGAACGAGACCGCAGGATGTTTCTAGTTTCAAATTGAAAGGAGAGGGGCGCCCCCCTTGTTTGAAAATAAATAAATAACTGCGGGCTACGAGGGTGGCGCCGCGGCGGTTTCTTCGGCCGAAAGCGACACCTCGCGGAGACCGAGCAGAGCGCGGAGCTGCTGGGCCTTGTGTCGGAAACTGAAGTGGGGCCACCCCGCAGCGCGCCTGCGGCCCCCGGGGCACTGTCAAGCCGTCCTCGCCACCGCGGAGCGGGTGGCGGCTCGGCCGCGAAGGAAATGGGCGTCCGACGCCCGCAGCCGTCCCCACGGGCTCCGGAGTTAGCCTTTCCAAAGCCAGCGTCGCCTCGAATTAAGAGGAGGAGAATCGGGTTGGCGTGGGTACTGCGGTCCACACCGCCTGAGGACCAAACCTCGTCTGCAGACCCTTGATTCCAAATTGTCGGGAGCAAAAAGGAACGCTGCTGTCACGCTCAGCCTCTTTGTGCCTCGGTTTCCCCAGCTGAGAAATGGAATTAGTAGTGGTGCTTACCCATAGGATTGTTTTGAGAAATAAAGAGTTATGAAAGCGCTTAGAACAGTGCCCAGCGTATCAACCTGAGTGTCAGCTCTTGTTATTACCAGGTCATGGTAGATTCTTCCCCATCAACTAACACCTTTATCCTGGCATCATTTACCTTCACCATCAAACCTTCACTTCCCTCGGGTCACACTTTCTCACAGGTGTGTTTGGGTGGGTGTGAAGAAGTCAGATTACTGCCCCTATCCCCAAACCCCAGGAACATCCCAGGTCTCCTGGGCAGCCCCCTTCACAACCAAATACACAGCGAGCTGAGATTTTGCTTTGAAAAAACATTCCTAGAGTGGTGTGGGGTAGGAGAATCTGTCGCGGGTAGGCCTGGGCAAGTTTCTTCTATCTCCCTTTTTCCAAACTGAAAATTCCACTCCTCCCCGCCATTCACCTCAGCTAGTTACAGACAAGGATGCAGTGTCAGGAGCCGCCTGTAAAATGCTCGTGTATTAGCATTTGTGAAGACTCGTCCAGCCCTTCATTCGGGATGCCTACATAATTCTGGAAAGAGAGGCAGATGCCCACCCAGAGTCCTAGGAAGTGGCCCATGAATGAGGATGAGCTGCCTTCTGAGCACCTTTATTATTATGATGACTTCCCTCTCACATGTAAAACACTTCACTTTTGCAAAAACCCTTAACACCCTACTTCTGCTTTTCCCTAACCCCTTAATCTAAACCAAGCCTTCCTGCTGTATTCTCTCCAAACATCCTTTACCTCCATTTGTAATTATATATTCCTGGGAGTGTTTGTTTAATGCCGCTTTCCGCCAGAGGCCTCGTGAAAGCAAGCTGTCTCCCTCTCAGACCTGTGTGCTCCAGCCAAGAGGACCCGTTTGTTTTGGTTTAGGGGGACATCCTCAGAGCCCAGCTGGGGACCTGTAGACAGTAAGTACGCCACCGTCTTGTTCAAGGCAGAGATCTCCGAGTGAGTCCTTCTAAGGCAGCCGGCTCTCCCAAGACAGTTTCTATCCATCAGAAACAGAGGGAGAGAGAAATGTCACTCCACAGAACCATCTTCAGGCCCTCAGCAGCAACCCCAGAATGGGCCCTCAGAGTGGCCTGCCCTGCCTTTTAACCAAAATAGCAAGGGGACTGTTAGAACAGACAAGGGTGGTCCCTGTTGTTACGTTTAAAATCTTAACCTACCCTTGTCCTCTCCCACCAGACCTGCGCCCTTCACCGCTCTAATCTTTCATCAAGGAACAGAAAGTAGCAAAAAAAGAGAGGACGAGAAAACGAGAGAAGTGGGTACTCTATGCCTCCAAGCAAATCCCATATCCTTCCTGGACCTCAATCTCTAATTTCCATCATTTAACGCAAGCCAGTAATTACTGACAGGTCGGAATTGGAAGGTTAACAGCATGATAAAATTCAACAAGTATTTATTGGTACTTTCATTTGCAAATGGAAAGATAAAAGGCTGGGGAGAAACGCAGCTGCTGGTTCCTAGTCGGTTTGTCGGAAAAACCTGCAAATTCTTAAAAATGTTGAAACCTTCTCAGACTATGTGGATGCATCTGCCGTCCGGACTTAGATCATGGATGAGTTAAGGCACTCTGACGGAGACACACACCTAAGATGACCGCATTTAGAATAGAGTTATACACAGGATTTGGTTGATAAAGAAGGAGATTTTTGAGGAAAGATAGTGGTTTTTTTTAATCCAAATCTCTCTGTATTAAAACAAAACAAACCTTCTCAGACTATGTGGATGCATCTGCCGTCCGGACTTAGATCATGGATGAGTTAAGGCACTCTGACGGAGACACACACCTAAGATGACCGCATTTAGAATAGAGTTATACACAGGATTTGGTTGATAAAGAAGGAGATTTTTGAGGAAAGATAGTGGTTTTATTTAATCCAAATCTCTCTGTATTAAAACAAAAACCACACACACACACACACACACACACATTCCAGATCATGAGTTAAAGATCTGGGTCCGGCTTTTGGAACCGTGGTTTCTCTTAGGATATTCACTGGTTCCTCAGCCAAAAAGAAAAAAAAAGTATAAATTTTTGCTGATTGAATAACTCTTCATCTGGAGTAAAGCTAGCTGAGCTACCCAATTACAAATTAATTAATTAATTAATTAATTTTGAAAAGCCTGGATTGCAGATTTAAATGGAAAAAGTCTTAGACTATAAGTATACGAAA